GGGTTGTGGATGCATCTTTCTTTCTTGGTGCCAAGGATTAAACCCAGGTCTCATATAGGCTAAGCCTGTACTCTACCACTGAGCCACACCCCTAACTTGGTATTTGTTTTGTTTTGTGGCTCTGGATGCCTTTCAGCATTGCTTTCTTAGGCTTCAAAAGCTTGGCTTTGGATTTGGAAAGAAGAGGAGCTTTCTTCTTTGCTTTCAGAGACACTTTGGTGAAAAGGACATATTCACTGTCTCATTCCAGAACATATCAACTCCTCAGATCCATGTCATAATTTAGCTCATAGGAATCTTTTTTCTATCTTGAAATCAAGTTTTGCTCTGTTGTCCAGTCTTACCTGAACCTGTGACCTTAGTGCTTTAACTTCCTGTATTGGTGGGATTACAGGCACACACTACATCACCTGTCCCCTAAGGGTAATGATTGCTCTCCGTTTTAGAACAAGTCAGGATTTTCCATTATATTGATGACATTATGCTGACTGGACCTAGTAAGTGAGAAATAGTATGACATTTGTATCTTGCAAGGGACAAATGTATTTGGAAAAAATTGGGGGTCTTCTACCTCATGAAAATAGAAGTCCAAAATTATGTATAAGGCAAAATATTCCTTCTAAAGTGAGAGAGAAGTCATTGCATCTGGCCCCTCCTATGAAAACCAAGAAGCACAGTGCCTAGTGGGCATCTGGAATTTAGAGGCAGAACATTCCTCATTTGGCAATGCTACTCTGGGCCATTTACTGAGTGACTTGAAAAGCTCCTGGTTTTGAGTTTTGCCTAGAACAACAGAAAATTATAACAGTTATAGTTTTATAACTGTGCTTATGACAGGTAGGGATGTTATTTGTATCTGTCCTACTAGTTGAATTGATGCACAGGCCCCTTAAGATTTTGAATCAAAGTCCTCCTGACTCCGCAGGTAACTTTTTTCCATTTGAGAAATTGATGTTGTCTTTCCACTGAATCTTAGCAGTCTCTGCCACTGAGACTGAACAGTTAACCTTGGACAACAAGTGCCATATGATCTAAGCTGTCCATCATAAGCTATGTTTATCTGACTCATCAAGATATAAAGCTGTGTGTACATAGGAGCACTCAGTGTTAAAATCTAGTGGTGTATATGAGATCAGGCCTGAGCAGGCTCTGAAGGCAGAAGTCAAATACATGAAGAAGTGTCCCAAATATCCTATCATTGCTGCTCTACTACCTCCTCTTCCAGTCTGTATCTTTGGTCTCATATCCTTATGACTAGGTGACAGAGAAAGAAATCCTGGGCCTGATTGACAGATGGTTCTTCAAGGTGTGCAGGCAGCATGCATAAGTGTTCAGCTGCCACACTACATCCTGTTCCTGGGATATTCCTGAATGACCCTGATGGATGGCCCCCTCCCAGTGGGCAAAAGTTGAAGCAGTAGACCTGGCTGCTAACTTTTCTTCAAGTGGAAAAACTCCAAATGTGGAATTATATATCAATTCTTGTGATTGACAGGATGTCAAGGACTTGGAACATTATAGTAATTTAGTGACAAGGAACTTTGCAGAAAAGGGTGAATCCAGCAGAGGAAGAATTTAACAGTGAAATGGATAGGGTCAATCATTTTGTTGATTTCAGACAATTTCTTTCCCCATTCACTCCTCCTATTGCCCAATGAGCTGCTGATGTACATGGTCATGGTGCCATGGCTGGTTTGGCATGAGCACAGCCACAAGGACATTCCCCTGCCAAAGTCAATTTGGCTGTGGTCAATATTCCAGCAGCAGTGACAACTCTGCCCAGTATTTCACCATTTCCTTTGGTGATAAGCAGCTATCTGGGGTCACATCAATTGCAGTAGACCGCTACCGTCACTGACAGAGCAAAGTTCTCTTCTTGTTGGAATGGACAATTACTTTCTATGGTATCTTCCCTATACACAATGCTGTTGCCAAAATTTTGTCTGTGAGTCTCAGAATACATTCTGCATCATTGTGATGTTCCACACAGCTTTGCTTCTGATCAAGGAAGTTACTTTACATCCAAAGGAGTGAGGCAGTGGTTCAGAGCTCATGAATGCTCCCCATCATCCTGAAGCAGGTGTCTTGGTAGAATGGTGGAAGGGCTTTTGAAGAGATAGCTACAATGCTAACAAGTGACACTACCATTGCAGGGCAAGGGCAAGGTTCTCCAGAGACTGACTCTGCTTGAAATCATTGACCATGATTTCATTGACCAGGTTTCTCCCAGGTCAGGAATCAAATGGAAATGCAAGTAGCAGCATGCCATCTTCCCTCTAGTGCCTCAAGGGCAAAATTTATTCTTCTTGTGCCAATAACTTGGTGTTTTGCTGGCTTGAATTCTAACATCAAGAGGCAGGAATGCTGCCACCACAAGACACATTGAAGTAAAAGGTAGGCTAAACCAACAGCCAATCAACAGAGCTGCTGTGCTGGCTGAGATGATGGATCCTGACTACTGAGAGGAAATTGGACCACTATTCCCCAATGGAATAAGTGCAACATGTCTGGAGAGCAGTAATCCCCGTGGCCCTCCCCAAAATGAAAATAGCTTTCACCATTAGGCATTTACACTTGTATAAATGTACATATACAGCTTTTTACCTTTTTTCATATACAGTTTTAATTTGCATTTTCCTGAATGCAATATTTATTTAATGTTTCTTTTAAACTTTTATTTAAATGCTATTTTTAAAAATATAATTAAACAAAGAGTGGGATTCCTTATTAAATATTCACACATATGCACAACATAATTTGGTCAAGTTCATTCACTAGTCACTCCCCATTCTCTCACCTCCACCCTCCCACTTGTCCCTTTCCTGTACTACTCTCCATTCTAATTTCATTACTTTCCTATCCCTTTCCCTCCATATGAAAGAAAATATTCAACTTTTGACTTTCTGAGGATGGCATTTTCACTTAACATAATCTTCTCAAGTTCCATTCATTTGCCTGCAAATGGCATAATTTTATTCTTCTTTGTGGCTGAATAAAACTGCATTGTGTACATATACCACATTTTCTTTATCCATTCATCTCTGACGGGCATCTAGGTTGGTTGCATAATTTGTCTATTGTGAATTGGGCTGTAATAAAAACTGATGTGCATGTGTCACTATAGTATGTTGCCTTTATTTCTTTTTGATAAATAGGAGTGGCATAACTGGGCCACATGGTGGTTCCATTCCTGGAGTTTTGAGAAGCCACCTTACTACTTTCCATAGTGGTTGTACTAATTTACAGTCACACTGACACTGTATAAAGGTCTTTTCCCCCCCACAACCTCATCAGTACTTATTATTTATATTCCAGATGACTACCATTCTTACTGGTTTAAGATGAAATTTCAGTATAGTTTTGATTTTCATTTCCCTAAATGGAAAATCCCTATACCAAAAGATGTTGAACAGTTTTCATATATTTGCTAGCCATTGAATTTCTTCTTTTGAGAAGTATCCATTTGGATAATTTACTGTTTGGGGTTTTTTGTTTGTTTGTTTTCTACCTGGATTAAACCCAGGGGCACTTAATAACAGAGCCCCATCCACAGCTCTTATGAAAATATTTTATTTAAAGGCAGGATCTCACTGTTACTTAAGGCCTTGATAAGTTGTGGAGACAGGCTTTGAACTCATGATCCTCCTGCTTCATTCTTGTGAGCCACTAGGATTACAGTCTTATATCACCATTTCTGGCACATTTATCTATTCATTGATGGGATTTTTTGCTTTTTGGTGTTAGAGTTTTTAAATTTCTGTTTATATTTTAAATATTTATCTTGTTGGAAGAGTATCTGGCAAATATTTTCTCTCATTCTGTAGGCTCTCTCTTCATGGACTAAATAGTTACCTTCATTGTGCAAAACCTTCTTACTTTGATGCCATAGATTTTTATTAATTGTTGGTATTATTTCCTGAGTTTTTGGAGTCAATAGAGGACGTCATACCCTATGCTTATATGGAAGAGTTTGACACTCTGTTTTCTTCTAGCCATTGCAAATATTTTGGTGTGATTTCTGGGTCTTAGGATCAGATGATTGCATCTGTCTGGATTTGTCTCTCTGCCTCCCATTCTGTTGCATTGATCTGTGCATTTGTTCTTATTTCAGTAGCATGCAGTTTTGGTTACTATACTGCTAGAGTATAATTTGAAGACAGATATTGTGATGCTTCCCGCATTTTTTTCCTCTTAGAATAGTTTTGGGACTTTTTTTTCTGTGATTAATGTCATTGAATATAACAGGGACTGCATTGAATGAGTAGATTGCTTTTGGCAATATGGCCATTTTAACTATATTAATTTTGTGAATCCATGAACATGGAGGGCTTTTCATCTTCTACTGTCTTTTCAATTTTTTTCCCTCAGTGTTCTATGATTTTCAATGCAGAGGTTTCTTCTTTGGGATCTTTTTAATGTAGATACTCATAGCTATAAACTTTCCTCCAATAGCTGCCTTCTTAGTGTCACAGAGATTGTGACATGTTGTATTTCTTTTCTCAGTTGGTTTAATTATTTTAAAATCTTCTCTGCTGACATTCGTATCCCTAGTTAATTATTCCAAAGTGCATTGCTCAATCTTGGTGTGGTTATATTTTTTGGTTATATTTTTTCTGTACTTTTTCTTATAATAAAAATTATGTCATTTCCTTTATTTTCTAAGACTTATCTATGGTGAAAGTGTTGAAATTACCTAGTGTTATTGTACTAGGGTCTAGCTGAGGCTTTAAGTCAAGTAGAACTTGTTTGATGTAATTAGATGAACTGACATTTAGGATACAAATATTTACTCTAACTTCTCTTGTTTTTGGATTGTTCTCTTTTCCAGTATAGATTTTACCTTCTGAGTAATTTTGGCTTGATGTCTACTTGGTCAGATATGATAGTAGCTAGTCCTATTTACCTTAGGGTACTCTTTGCCTGTAATATAATTTTCCATTCTTTCACTTCAGTCTGTAAGTACTTTTGCCTGGTGGGTGGTGAGTCTTTTGCAAACAACATACAATGGAGTCTTGATTTTTATTTTTTAAATCATTGTGACAGTGTCCCTCATTTAATTGGAGATGTGACAATTCAGTGTTCCTATAAAGAGAAGAGGGATGTGCATGAATACTTGCAATTTTGATTGTGTTTAATTTGACTTGATTTCTTATTTGCTTAGTAACACTAATAATGAATATTGCCTATTTATGGAGACTTGTTTGTTTTTCTGCTCTCCCCTGGGTTGAACCCAAGGCCTAATGCATGCTAGGCAAGACCTTAACACCAAGCCACACATGCAGCCCCTGGGGTTTCTTTTAATTTCTTATGCATAGTTTTTCCTTAAGTATTTTCTGTAACACTGGCTTATTTGTTGTGAATTCTTTTTCTATCAACTCATCTGGGAAGATTTTCATGACTCTTTGATTTTAAAAGATAATTTTTCTGGGATAGCAGGTTTGGTTGACAGTTATTTTCTTTTAGATTAGATACAAACACCCCTAGGGCCAGGAAAATGCTGATCTCTGCTTCAATTTTGGGGTCTCTGGATCTTAGGAACCTCAAGAGAATTCAATTTCTAAGGCAGATAGCCAACCACCCTTCGTCGAGAAGGCACAGCACACTTACAACCTTGAATAAAACCTTTCAAAGCTCAGTACCTGAATATAGTTCCACCTATTTATTCATTTTTCTTTCCCCCTTAGCTTGTCAACTGAGCCACCAGACTCAGAGAAAACAAGTTACACTCACAACCTTGTCTCTGACCTGAATCACCTTAGCTATAGTCATCTTCCTTCCTTCCTTCCTTCCTTCCTTCCTTCCTTCCTTTCTTCCTTCCTTCCTTCCTTCCTTTCTTTCTTCTTTCCTTCCTTCCTTCCTTCCTTTCTTCCTTCTCTCCTTCCTTCCCTTCTTCCCTCCCTTCTTCCTTCCTTCCTTTCTTTGAAATGAACCAGATGTCCTCTTCCAATAAACTACAACCAAAGGCCATTTTATTTTTTCTTTTGAGACATTGCCTCAAAGTTGTGATCTTCTCTCCTCAGCCTCTCAGATCACAAAGTTCTTGTACCAAATTTTTCTCTTGTGTTTATCTCTCTCTTTTTGTACTCCCCTTTCCTCTGCGGTGAGCTGAGCCCACAGCTGTCACTACCTTGGCTCCAATGAACTCTCTCTTGTGCTCTACTAAAAATACCTGCATTTCTGGGTCTCTTAGTGTTCAATATTGATCTTTAGTGAATTCCCTCAGGCACCACCTCAGTGAGAAGCGGTACTCCTGCTGCTTCAATTCTGAGCTGTGGAGTAAGTGCAGCCTTCTTCTACTCTGCCATCTCTATTTCCCCATTCTACCTAAAACTTACGTGTAAGTCATAAAAATTTGAATCCCAATGTTTGTTCCAAGAAGTGAGAAATGGGTCTGGGGCACATTTTCAGAGCAGCAGAGAAATACTCATTCTATTAAACTATGATTCCCTTCTGCATTTTCCGCCTGGCTGTACCTGTGGGAGAGAGAACAATATGACCTTTCAACATCACGTCTCACCATTGACAATATAGGTCCCTTTTTTTCTCAAGAGAAAAACTCATTTAAATGTGGATTTAAGACCCCTCCCACTCTGGACACTGATCACTGACCTCAGTGGTTCCTATCTGGCTGAGCACCAGGATGGCTGGTGGGCTTGTACAATACACTTGGTCCTGTCCAGTCACCAAATACCCCAGACTAGTAGGCTCAAGACAGAGAAGTCACTGAAAAAGTCTTTAAGAGAAGCTGATGCACAGTCTGGAATCCTGGTCATTTTTTGAGCTCTTGAAAGTATGAACTATACACTGGCAGCATTAATTAGTACCACCTTAACATGGACCCAGAATCTACTGGTTAACTCCACACTCTGCATCTCAGGTTGATGTCCAGATCAACAGGAAACCTAGGACTCTCCAATCCATGTTCCTTCTGCGAGTGGTAGCAGAACCCTGCACTCTTCTGTGGACGTGTGGTCTGATCATATGGCAAACACTGGGAGCTCACTGAGCTCCAGCGCTCAGTGCCTGTCCCTTTCTTTTCTGTGGCCACCACTCCCTTGGTGCCCTCACCTGTACTCAAGGCTTTAATCCATTTCTCCATTCTATCTCACTGCCAATGTGATGAACTCATTTGCATTTCCAGGTTATATCTCAGTTCAGTGTTTACGCTGAGTGCCTGGCATGTCCCTTGTCTCATATGCCATATCCAGAGTCCTCTGCTGTCCACTGAGGGCAACTCCATCCTTCTCCTTATGCAGTCTGATATATGGGGTGCACCACTGACTCTTCCTTATACCCCAGCTTCAGTCCATCAGGAAGTGCTGGGAAGACCATCCTCAGAAAGGATCCAGGATCCAGGAACCCCCACCAGTTACACTACTGACTCATAAGTGGATAGGACTGCCATTCCAGCCAGAAACAGAACACTTGTTCCCTGAAGGTCCTGCAGCCTGTCTTGCGCCTCACTTTTCCATTCTCAGCACAGAAGCCATAGTGCCTTTTACAACACAGTTGTTCTCATATGGGAAGTTCTGCTGTGATCCTCGTGTATTCAAACTGTCTTCCAATTCTCTGGCTCACTCAGAGAAAAGTTCAAAGTCTTCCAGGAACTTGCAGACCTGCAGGATCTGATCACATCATTGGCCTCTATCAGTGACTCTGTTCAGGGCACACACAGTTCTCACTTTCTCATGAACACAAGGACAAGCTCCTGACATGTGCATTTGCACTATTTCCATGTGCTTAAAATTTGATCTGATACCATCAAGATGATTTCTCATCCTTCAAATCTTACCTCAAAAGTCATCTTTTCATCAAGGCTGACAGCAAGACCTTGGTAAGTACCTGTCTTCTCTGCCCCATGCCCCACACCTTCTGGATGTATTCGTGACTCTGATGCCTCCAACAGGAACACTGTGCTTATTTAATCTTCTTACAGTATACCCCTATCCTCTAGCCACTAGAACACATGATCTACTAGGCTGGCAAGTTTTTGGCTTTTCCTCCGAGTCTCCACAATATATAAAAAAGAAAATCACATATTTTGAGACAGGATCTCACTAGCTTGCCCAGGCTGGCCTCCAACTTTCAATCCTTCTGCTTCAGACTCTTGAGCCACTGGGATTACAGGTGTGTGCCACCAGCAGTCCTTCCTTCATTTTTGCTGCTGAAGTTTTACATTTTATGGATATATACAGTTTGCCACTTGCCTGGTGATGTTTATGTGTTTGATTCTACTCTGCCATAAGCATCAGTGCACACACAGGCAAGATCATCCCAGGTTTATGATAATTAGAAGGTATTTTTCATCCTATCATGTTATTTTCTTCAAATAATGTACTTATACCAATTGGAACTCTTAGCAGGAAAGTGTGAGAGTTTATGTTGCTGAAGTTCTTAAACCAAACCTAGAAGATGGGTAGTATACAACTGGAGCCACAGTCTTGGCTGCAGACCTGCCCAGGCCTTTTATGTCCATCAGCAATTTCCTCTCCTTCCTTTATTCCACATGCCCTGGCCTCACACTGTCAGCACATAGGTCCAGTACCTGAGGTCCAGTTCCTGTTCCCTTCTACCAAACCACTGAGGTATTGTCATGGACTCAAATCTTCCAAAATAAAAAGGAAAACATGAAATAAGGGAGGCAAGAGAAATGGAGAGAGGGAAAGGAGAAGGAAATAGAAAAGACAAAAATAAGGAAGAGAAGAGTACAAGCAGCATTGGAAAGAGCAAGAGTAACAGGCATTATCACTATGCAAGAAAGTAAGGAGATGGAGAAGACACTGTAGAACAGCAGATATGAAGAGAGTTGGAAAAACAAGAAGCACATAGATCCTCAAGATGGGGCTCAGGAGGTGGAAAAGTTTGCAAAAACAAAGGATTTCATAAGCTGGAATAAGTAATAAGTAGATTGTTATAATAACACACAAATGGAAATGATTTGTTAGTCAGGTCCTCCAAGATAGACAATTGCAAGGTGGGTTTGAGCTCACCAGCATTTTATTAGAGGAAACACCTGTCTGAGAATGTGAGAAAGGAGCCAGAAATTCCTGGGAAAGCCTTCAGATTGAGGCATAATCAGACCCTGGGAGATGGACGGAGGGAGAAGAGCTTGTAGGATGGGTCCTAGACCACAGGCAACCTAAGGAAAGTACAACCAGGACATAAAAGTGACCTGTCTGTGATGGTCAGCAGAGGAGTCCCATGCCTCCCAGCAACAGGCCTGCAGAAGTTACTTGGTTTGACCATTTTTTTTTCTGTAACAAGTTTTTTTTTCTGTAATAATCAACTTTAAAAGTGGAAAGGTTTATTTTGGTTTATAGTTTGGGGAGTTTGAAGGTTGGCTCTGGTGTTTTGGAACTGTGGCAGCACAGTTGATTGTGGGTGATCACCATTGAGCTATTAAGAATCTTTTCTCAGCCTTGAGACAAGGGGGTGTTGGTCTGGCATTGCTCTCTGTTTGGGCTACGTTATGCAGGTGGTGTCCACCTTCGCTCAGCAAAGAAGCCTGCTTTCCCCCAGCACTGGATCTGGGCCTTGCCACCTGGGCTTGAACAGCCCATCCCCTGCCTTTCTATCAAAAATATTTTGTTAATTCTCCTATAAACAAACAGATAGTGGATACCAGCTCTCTCTCTTTCCAGCATGGAAGCAGGATGTTAAGGCCAAAGAGCTGTCCTGCCCTTGATCCCTAAATTACGTCCAAGTCCTATGATTTTTTTTTCTACCTTCTTCTTAGCTTAACGTTGCAGCCAGCCCATTTAAACCCTGTTTGTATCCTCTGTGGTCACAGCTGAGAGTTCATCATGACAGGTGCGCATGACTCAAAAGCCCATTCACCTCATGGTGGCAAAAAGGAAGGGGTATGGTTCCTCGATCCTCTCTAGAGACATGTCTCTAGGAGCCAGAAGACCACCTTCTAGGACCACATCTTCAGGTTTCTATCATCTTCCCATTGTGCCAAGCTGGAGAGTTCGCCTTGAACATATGGCCTTCTGTGGGATATCCCAGGTCCAAGCTCTACCACCAGTCCTTGGCCTCAGCAGCCCTGGTAAGCAGGGCCTCTGCACCAGTGCTGCCCTGGGTCTCAACATGGAGCAGGGCTCTTGGCTGACTTCCTGGGGGTGTGACCCAAACCTTCCTGAGGTGTCTGGGACCTTGGAAATCAAACCCTGACAGGCAAGGTAGTACAGGGGTTAGTGACAGTTGAAATGGGACAAGGAGAATGAGGGGGCACCCATGTAGATCACTGGCATTCACATATACCCCTCCTGCCCTCATTGTGTGACAACAGCCCTTCCTCTTTGGGAAGATCTGGCTTCATCACCACTGGCAAGAAAGGAGTTCAGGGTGTCCTCTGCCTTCCTGCTGGTCCCAGAAATCATAATGGTTGTTTTATTCAGCCCTTTCATTTCTGTGACTAAAAGGCCTGACAAGAATAATTGGAGGAAAAAACATTTATTTTGGAGTCCATGGTTTCTGAGGTCTCAGTCCATAGAAGACTGACTCCATTTCTCAGGGCTTGAGTCAGGGAGAACATCGTGGCAGAAGGGTGTGGTGGAGGAAAGTGGCTTGGGGAATGGTAATCAGGAAGCAGAGAGGGAGAGAGACTCCACTCACAAAATACAAGATATATACCCCAAAGGCACACCCTCAATGACCCACCTCCTCCAGGCACACACTACTTAGATTAAATCACTACCCAGTTAATCCCTATTAAGGATTAATCCACTTATTGAAATAAGGCTCTCATAACCCAATCACTTTACCTTTAAACCTTCTTGCATTGTCTCTTACATGAGCTGTTAGGGGACATCTCACATGCAAACCATAACACTGTTCAAACCTCCCCTGTGGCAACAGCAGTGTGTAGTTCAATGGCCCACTCGCATCCCTTGGTAGGAATGCTCCCCTTTAGGAAATCAGGGTATCCTATTCTGCAGAGCCCAGAGTGGCAGACATGGGAAGTCCAAGATCCCCAGTGTACAAATCTAAGTGATGTTGAATGGAGCCACTTAGTTTCTGGACCCACATGTTCTTTCCTTTGAGAGCACAGCACCATAAGGAGGTCTCTGATTCAATAAATACACTGTGTCCTCAAAAAAGGCAGCTTGCCCTTCAGAGGGCTTCCTCAAAGCTTAGGCTCAGGGGGGCCTTACAAGACCCATCCAACATTGTGTGTGGCTGGCAGCCCCTGCAAAATTCAGACTGTGCATGACCTGTGGGTCTCATGGTCATGGCTCATGCCACATCTGTTTCACTGAGAGTGCTGTCATGGTCAGATAACAATGTAAGAGAAATTTGGATCCTTTGGATGTGAAATAATGACAGCCCTTTAGAGTGGTGCATGCTGGCTGAGGGTCTGAGTCATGGAAGGTAAAACTGACACATAAAATCTGAGTCTATTTCTAGGATGATGAACCTCATGCCCTTCTAGGATACAACTGGCTCAGGGTAATCAATTTGTTACTTAGTGTCTACTTGATCATATAAAGAAATAATGGTATCTCCAGAATCAGTATTGGTCCCTCATTCTAAGAGTTTGAATGTTGAGAGGTAACATCATCTGAATGAGCCTTAATAAGAGGAATTGTTGCTGCTGGGCTCAAATGTAAGGTGAATCTCTGCCTTTGTGGTTGCTCCAATCATATGCCTGTTATTCGAGTCCTGAGTGGCCAGTAATGAACACAAATATATTATTCAGCTTTCTATTACTCATATTAAAATACCTGAAACAACCAACCTAAAAATAGGAAAGGTTTATTTGGACTCACTATTTCAAAACTTTCAGTCCCTAGTCAGAAGGCTCTGTTGCTTTGGGGCCTGTTGTGAGACAGAACATCCCTAGCAGAGGAAGCTGCTCCCCTTGTGGCAGCTAGAAAGCAAAAGTAGAGACAGGAAGGGCCCAGATCCCAGCATCCCCTTCAAGGACACACGCCCAGGGTCTTTGTTAGAGTCTGTAAACAAGTCTGGATGGCGCCCGGCAAAATGACAGAGGGAGTGGTTTGTGAAGTAACGCGCCAGCGAGCCATTAAGTGTGGAGATTCCTTATTGGTTGACTGCTGTATCTAGTTTATGTCAATTAAGATAAGGTGTGTGGAATGTATAAATACCTCTGTTGTCCTACAATAAAAGGCTCCCTCTCCTGCTGTATCAACGTACACAAGTTGTTCGTCACACACACACGCACACACACACACACACACACACACACACACACACACACCACCCCCGTTATTTTGCTGCAGCCGGACTACGGCAGGTCTTCATTTCTTTTCAGTAGGGTCCATGTCCTAGAGGTTCCACCATCTCTTAGTAGTGTCAGGGGCTGGGGAAGAAGTCTTTAACTCATGTGCCTTTGGGACATTAAGACCCAAATTGTAACAGTTGGATCCTGTCCATTGGTCTACTTGGCTGTTCAGAGCCACTTCAGGGTGGATGTTTTCTGCATGTGATTCAGGCTCAAGCCCAGATGTACATTTCCATGTGATGATGGACTGCCCCAGACCTGTCTTGTTTATGGCCTAGTGAGCTCCATAGAACCCAGGCCATGTTGGCTACCATCACTCCAATGTTCTTTAGTGTCCCATGGTCAAACATTCTGCTTCACCAGGCCTAGCAACACATGAAAGCTGATTACTGAGAGGGGCACATTTCTGGGTGTAGAAGGCATGGCCTCCTTCAGACCCCAGGGCTCTTGATAGTTTTTTTTTTCTCACCCTGTGCTTAGTTCAGCTCCATCCTGCACCTCTCACACTACTGACCCCCCATATCTGTAGAGTCTGAGGAGTGATGGATGACCCCATCATGTCCTGGAACTGTTGCAGTGTCTATTCCTGTCCAGGTCCCACATGAAGCTGGCCTATTATGTCACCCAAAATGTGGTACAAACACTGTGCCTCAGTGTGGAAGGTGATGTCAGAACCCAAAGAGGCCCCGGCCTCCTGCTTCCTTCCCTGAAGTGAGAGGTGCCAAGTGCAGCAGCTGGTCTTGTACCATGGAGGGGACATCTCTGCTTGTCTTTAACAGCTGGACCCCTAAATCACAATGAAGGGGCCACTCCTGAATCTCTGAACGTTTTATCTTCCACTTTCTGAGGTGCGTGTGCCTCATCAAGAGCTCCAGGGCACTTTCCCTTCTTGCTCATCCATTCCAGGCAGCATGATGTGGGATGAAATGAACTGACTTCATATTCTAAGAGATGTGCATCCTGTCCAGACTCTTAACACTGCATCCTAGAGGGCAGGGATGGTGAGGCTGTGGGTATGTGGGTTTTGGAGTCAACTCCATCCCAGAGCATGACACTTCCCAGCCTCCTGCCTATTTCCCTTTCCCCATGTAGTCTCCTGAATAATGATGATTCCTTGGCAGAAGGATTGAGGGAATCATGGCCACATGTCCTTGTCATGGTGTCCTAGGCTCTTTCTTTCCTGGATGTGGACACGTCTTCAGTCACTGGGTTCTGAATCTGAACATTGGCTCAGATTTGGGAATTGAGAATGGATTCAAGACTTCTTATTGGTCCAAGTACCTTTAGCTTCCTGATTTCCTTTTTTATGTTAATTGCTGATACTGAGAAGGGCACTTGCTGGTCACCTGTTTGACCCTAGGGACATGACCCTCCATGAACTTCCACAGCCCCTTGCAGATCAGAGCACCCATGACTGCCACTCTGGGGTTGCTGTGGTGGGCATGGTCTCTAGTCAGTGCTGGTTAACTGCCTCCACTTGATCTCCTGACCAAACTCTCCCCACGAATATGAATGAGCCCCTTCCCCACCCTCATCCCAGCTGCATAGGAAAACACTCACTTTTTTAGTGAAGCAGGCCCTTGTCACCAGCATATTCCTGTGAGCTTTAGTGAAAGAAACCTCTTGGATATTTGGAATTCCACTCTCTGGTGGGCCTTGTGACCTCACAGAATCTCTCTATTCCACATACCCTCTTCCCTCAGCCTCATCCTCCATTGTCTTCTTGAGCATCTATGTCATGACCACCTGCTGAGGGGTGGACATCAGTTTTCCCAGTCTAAACAGAGGTCACAGAGCCACAAAAATTACCACAACCCAAGTGGTTTTATGTAGCTCCATTGATGACCTCCTGTTTGTAGGTTCCAAGTCCCCCATGAGGCTCACAGAGCTAAAGTCAAGGTGACAGCAGGTCTTTGTTCCTTACTGGAGGCTTTGATAAGGAATCTGCTTCCAGGTTCAATAAGGTTGTTTGAAAATTAAGTCCCTATCTCCTTGCTAACCATCATTCAGGTACCACTTTTAGCTCCTGGAACCCTCTCTCAGGTCCTCATATGTGTCCCCTACAGCACATCTTATCCTTCTTCCACTGGAACCTCTGAAGTCCCCTCTGCTGCATCTCCTCCACCTGCCTGTCTTGTAGCATCTCTCTGACTCCAGCCAGAGAAGGGTCACAGCTTGAAAGTTTTACTGTGATTTGATTGGGTGACCCGGGGTGTCCAAGACAATCTCCCCATTTTCACATTGTCACCTCAGTTACAGTAATGTCCCCTTTGCCATATGATATAACCTCTTCACTCTTCCAAGGTTTAGGATGTGGGCATCTATCTGTAGGACCATTCTTCAGTCCCCACATCTTCTTGTGTTGAAATCAGTGAAGAGCAAGGAGATAGCACTTCTGAGAGGGTGAGGGACAAGGAGAAGCCAAGAGTGCAGAGATGGGGAAATTACCTGGGGTGCCTGGGAGTGCCCACCATGAGGGGAGTCGGGGGTCCTTCTTATGGCAGGCTAGTGGATATTGGGAAGAGGGAGCTGAAAGATCTGAGAACCTCATTGTGGAGGAAGGACCCCCACCCCAGAAGCTGTACATGGTCCACAGGGAAACCCCAAAGAGATTTCAGAGGGCCCTTGTCCTCCAGGAAACCACTTTTCTGTTAGATCTGGGAGGCAAGGACATCCTGAGAGAACTTTATAGGTTTGTTTTTCATAAGCTGAGGATTTCAGGGGGTGACTTGGAAAGATTCCAGGAGTTGGGGAGATGGCAGGAGAGGAGACAGGACAAGGGTATTCAGAGCCTCGTGAGGATAACACTACAGCACACTGAGGGGGACCTAGCATGGATAACCTGACAGGGAAAGGACACAAGAGGTTAGTCCTGGTGGATTCAGGACAGATAGCTGGGCTGGGCGAGGGGCAGGTGTGGGAGCAGATGGGTCTGGGCTCTTTATCTGTGGATGGAGATGTGTTTGGTGTTGTATTGGTCTTGGTGCTATTGTGGAACCTTTTTTGCCTCCTGATCATTAGGTGGAGTGTCTGAGTGTGGAGGTTGGCTAGGCTGTGCATGATTCACTCCTGAACTGAGGAGAGTTATAATTAGACAAATTTTATATTATTTGACATTGGCTAATATTAGAAGGATATAGTAATTTTCCTTAGTGTCATGACAACATTGTTATTGAAAGAAGAATACAATTTTATAAGAGATAACACTGACTTACTTAGGAATGGGTGTCACAAAAATTTATTTTCTAGGGTGTCAGCAAGAATTACCTAACTACAATTTGTTCATTCTAAAACTGATGTAACAAAAGACTGAACTAATTAGGTCTATAGTCACCACTTTACTATTATTTCAAAGTTTGGAATCTTTTATCAATTTCATGTAATTTGGAAATAATTTATTGTAATACTTCCTTACAACATGGGAAATACTCACAATATAATGCTGAACAAAAATTAAGTTTCAAGTGAACATGTGTATGAGCTATATTGGTGGTATATTCCTAAAAACCCAGCTACTCGGCAGGCTGAGGCAGGAGGATGGCAAGTTCAAGCCAGCCTGTGAAACTTTGTGAAACATTGTCTTAAAATTAAAATTTAAAAGAGGGTGTAGCTCAGGGGTGCAGCAACACTTGATTTAATAATAAAAATAAAAACAAGAATAAAGTAATAAAAGAGTATGCCTCTTTTGAGAATGCCTCAGTTGAGGGCATATCAGTATTTGTCATATTAGTCCAGTTCAATACCTGAGGGAACTACCTTATGCTTTAAGAGATTTATTCAGGTCACAGTTTGGGAGGGTCCAAAGCCTGTATCTGTATCACCTCTGTTCTCATGAGGAGAGTGGATGGTGGTCCTCCATTGTGAGCATGTAGCAGAGCTAGCCTGTTACATCACCATCTAGGCAGCAGACAGAGACTGGAGACCATGCCCCCAAATCCTTCTATGGCCCAAGGACCTCCCACTGGGCTCCAGCCCTTCAAGGTCCACAGCATCTGCAGTACCACTACACTGAAAAAGAAGTTATATAGGACCTGTAGCGTTATATAATCTGGAGATAATTTACTGTAATATTTCCTCACAACATGGGAAACGCAGTTCCCAGACCAGACAGGCGGCACACAGACCTATATCAAACCACGGCAGAGCACATGCATGTGCAAGTGTGTCAGTGTCTGTGGGCATTTATTTGTCGATTCAGTCTGCAATTTTTGAGATAAAGTCTTACAAATGACAGAGATGTGCAAGTAACATGTTTTGAAAGATCCTTCAAGCTTTTCCAACAGGAGCACTCAATCCCCATTCTCCCAGGAACCCAGGGACCCTGCCAGAGATGAATATGTCATCAATGTTTCATGTGACTCTCCTGAAAAAAAATTATGCAATGCTTTCATCATTGCTCCACTAAAGGAGCACTGAGAAGCAACAGGGAGCAGAGGAAAACATTTCTGCTCTTCAGCTTTCTGGGGTGTTGTCAACAGGGTTGACGGGAGGCTTGACTGGGAAGAGGCAGAATCCTCAGGCAGGGTACAAGGGCTCCTGAGCTCTCCCCTCCTTCAGTCTCTGCCACATCCAGGACCTGGACACCTGTGCAGTCCATTGCTCTCAGAAACCTTATACCAGTTGATGCTCAGATCTCTCCTTAGCTACTCAGTGAGGATCCAAGAGCAGCACAACAGCGCCCCCGTGTGGCCTAGTGCCGAGCACAGAAAACGCAGTTCCCAGACCAGACATCCTGCTTGAGTTGAGTTGGGGAAGGAGAGTTGAACTTTTTAATAAAAATTTTATTTTCATAGGTTTTAAAAAGTCACAGTGGTTATTTTATACTATTATGGTAATAATCAGTCACGGAAAATGTTTTAAGGCAAAATCATAAAGATGTAAAACCACCTTTCGTCTCCACTGGTAGGATCCTGCTTAAACTTGTGACTGGCAGATGCTCATAGACTTGAGTGAAGGGGCCCCTGCAGCTGCCCTATATAGCAGTGCTGAGTTCTCCACCCTCCTCAGTTGTTTTCTGTGCATGTGTTTTGATTTTGTTGTTGTTGTTTTACTAGCAAATCCCCAAATTAATACACAAATCCAATGCAATTCTATCATATTCCCAACAAGTTTCATTGGAGAAATTGACAAACAGCATCCAAATTTGATATGCAAATACAAAAGGGCAAATATATCCAGGGAATTCTTGAAGAAACCAAGGTAGAACATTAAAAGTGACAATAATTAAGACCAGTCTGTATTGGTGCAATAACAAACGGGCCAATGGAACAGGCCCCACAAATAGAAACATCTGATTTACAAATAAAGGGGCATCATAAAACAATGCAGAAAGGACTTTTGTAAATAAGTAGTGCTGTGGAAACTGTACATTCTTTTTAAAGAAAATTGAAAGAAAAATATGAAAAGTGAGATCAAAGATACTTCATAGCGTACACACAAAACAACCCCAGTGGATGTAAATGTGTAAAGCCAAGTGGGAAGTTGCCACAGGTACACAGCAGAAAATATGCCTTAACCAGATAGAGGTCTGCTTCTGCCCTCAGCTTCTGGGAGGTGACCCCTAGGCCCCTGCAATGTCCTACCTGGAAGAGCATCTCTGTTTACCTGGAGTCCGTGGCCACCAGATAGTAACACCTTTATAATGAGAGTTTTGGGTCACCAGTATCTGCTCCACCTTCAGGCTGACCACCAGCCACATGAGCAGTCACCACAAGGCTCCATGATGATCTCCAGACACTACTCAGGGAGATTCTTCATGGAGATACTCGATGTGTGTTGTCACAAAGTGATGTTTTCTGTGTTTATATGCAGGACTACATAGCTGCACTCAAACAAGATGAAATATTTTGAATCTTACATTTAAAAACTTTATTATGATAAAGCAACTTTATATGATATTTCACACTCATTTAAACACTTATTTTTGTCTACCAAATATGTAGTACAAGAAAAAAATACATAACCACTCCTGTTGGTATCTCTCTTTTTCCTGCTGGGATTGAACCCAGGACCTGGTGCGTGCTAGTTCAGGCTCTACCACTGAGTTACATCCCCAGCTCCCTTTTGTATCTTATTCTTTCATTGCAAATAAAGTCTGATTAATAATCTTATATCTAAAGATCCCTCTATATTATGTCTTTTGTTTTAGAAATTATAGATTTCTTGAGGAGTCATGGGATCAAATTGTCTCTCACAGTTACACACCAATACACGTTCATCCAACCATTTATCTAGATATCCATTCAGTCAAGATTCACTGAGTCCCTATTCTATACTAGGATTATTCCAGATGCTGAGGATACAGGTGGTGACAACTAGACTAGCTCCCTAAGGAACATATGCTTCAGAAATACAGACTGACAATCAACAAAATAAAAATTATTCCACAAAGTGATAATTATTATTGAGAAATATGTGCCTGGTCCACAAGACTGCCAGTGGCAAAAATGCCAGGGACCCTATTTCAGATGGGTTGGAATTAGAAACCATATCTGAGAACTTGGTATCTGTACACATAGTAGCCCTGGGTGGTGTGAGGAGGGAACCTTAATGTTTCTTTAAGGGGATCTTTCTAACTCTGCTGATATGAATATTGTTGTCCCACTCCACAGAGAAAGGGACACGTGCAGCATCAACTCCTGCAGCAGAGCCAAGGTGGTAGGTTTCCTAGTGGCCAGGTAAAGGACTATGACCCTCCACTTACAAACACACACAGAGGAAGGGATGGAGAGGGGGCTGTCCTCAAGGGTGGAAAACTCAGGTGTCCTTCAGGGCTTCTCTCAAGGGTCTTTTTTTCTCTTTGCCCTGAACTTTGTAGGTCTTTGTGCCTCAGTAAGAGAAAGCCTTGGAAGAAGTGGAGAGAACCTCAGGAGCTAGGTGTGCAGAGGGAAAAGGAGGAGGCAGTAGAGACAGGGGAGTGGAGCTGGTCCAAGGCTTGGGGAGCCCAGGCAGGAGGGGCCTGCTGGCTGCAGGGCTGGAGACCAGAGCCTCAAGGCTGGAGTCTTCGTACCTGTCACCTGAGGGAGAAAATGGGCCGCTGGCCCTTCCATCTGCAAGAAACATAAAGGAGTGGCATTTGGCTTTTTAATTTTGGTTTTTATAAATGGACCAGAGTGGAAGATAAGGAGCCTACTTTTCAAGTGTAATTTTTTTCAAATTTGGCTCTCATCACTGTCTATGTTAAACATATGTTTAACTTTCTGTCAAACATGGAAACAAACATGTTATTTTTGTTGTCCCTTTCACACGATCCCTTCCTGGAACATGAACACAGGCCAGATATATTTCATATTTAAAAGTTTCACATATAAAAATATTTAAACATTTATAATGTAAAATGATATAGACAAGAGGTAAGACAGAGAGTCAGAGAGGGTTTGACGTTCCCTCAACACTGAAGGAGAGTATTTTAGGTTTCTTGGGAGGAGGCAGAATAAGGACACTTACAAATAATCTCATTTATTAAAATACCATAATTATATGTAATGTGCTAAAATACAGTAAAATAATAAGAATACTAGTACAGAACAGCTGCACTAGTTAGCAAACATGTTTCCACATTGTAGAGATGAGGAAACCAAGGCACCAAGACATAAAGTGCTTGTCACAGCAGGGCTGCCCAGTGCAAGCTCCCCCTGAAGCCCCAGGAGCTCTCAGCAAAGGTTGACACCCCAGCTGTGTGGATCCAGTGTAGTCACTTGGTGCCCTCTGCTGCTGATCCAGGTTATATAGGCTCAGGGGCTCTAGGGAAAAAGAGGAACCAGTCAGTGTTCAATTTGTTGCAGAATATTGCGGTTTACTCCCTTGGGATTTCTCTCTCCTCAGTTCCTCAAAAACCAAATTTGGCCCCTCTCTGAGGGAAGTAAATACCTGACTTTTTTTTCCCCCTCTCATCCCATTTTCCTGCCCTTATCAGGCTCCTCTGTTTCTATCAGCAGTGTCATCTGTCTCTGTTTCCACCACAGAAGGGAGTGAAAGGGCTGCAGGATTCAGGATCAAGATCTGGAAGTGAAATCCAATGTCCCCTCCTCCAAACATAAATCATTCCCTACAGAGTGGGGGCCTCCAAGAGAAGGTATCTCCTGCTCCTGCCCGGATGGGCACAGGACTCACAAAGAGCCCTTCTCCCGCTTAGTTCACAAGCCTCCTCCCCTGCAGAGGTAGGTGCTCACCCAGCAGGGCCTGCCCCACTTGCAGCTTAGCATCCTTACCTCCCAGCCCTGAGCCAGCAGCTCCTAACTGGACAGTCCACCAGGAAGCCCAAGGGCACCAGCAGGCCTAGCTGGAAAAGCATGCCTGCCACATGATCTGCTGCTCCCCTGACCTGTAAAAGCCCATGCAGAGGATACTCAGAATCACTGACCCTCTGCACCTGCCCAAGCTCTCAATCTGCACTTTTGCTTCCCCTACCTGCGTGGTTCACCTAGTGCTCGGAACCCAGCTCTTCCCCAAGGGCTTCTTTTTCCTGAGGTTGCCCTGGACTCCCTACCTCCATACCTAGCATGGGCTTCTGTAGGCGACAATCCTCATAGTCCTCAGAGGTCTTCTTTCCAAAGAAAACTAGGGTTTTCCTGAGATTCTGCAGTGTGAACTGTAGGCCCATCTATCATCTGTCCCATTGCATTGTCATGGTCACAATCCAGATCTCCCACAGGGGACACTCCTTTAGAGGGATCTCTAAGGGTGTCAATTAGTGCACATTAGTACGTGAGTGCTGGAGAACTGCTTATTCACATGATACAGATGAAACTGGAAACATCCTTACTGAGATTCAACATTCAAAGTAGAAATTTGCAAAAATAAGCAACAGGCCTTTCCCACTCTTTTCCTGGGCACTGCCCTAGTGACATTCTAGGCAACCATTTCTGACCACACGAAAGTAGAACTAGCATTGCCCTTGTTCCTCCTCTTGGAAGGCCATAGATGGGAGAGGCAGAGACCACAAAGCTGCCTACCCTACTTGTAGAGTCACCTGAATGGGCCCCTGCTAGGGGACTGTGTGCCCTAGCCTGTGGGGACCAACACCCCTTGGGGCTACAGTGGAAAATTCCAGACATAAGAGAAAAACAGTGACCACAGCTGCCCTATATTAGGTTGGTCTCTCTCCCCAGATGGCCAAGGACATAAGCCATTCTCCCGTTCATGTCATCAGCAAGGCCACTACAGGAGGAAGAGCTGAATAGTGGGGACAGGATGGTGACTGGCATGGCCAAGTGACCCAGAGGAGATACTCAGAAGACAGCTCCTAGGAGGGCCTGCTCTACACAGGCCTCCCAGGGGCTGCATTGACAGGGCTCTGGCCCTATGGATCTTTTTCCTGGTTTGCTCCTGACAGCCAGAGACACTGGGGGAGAGTGAAGGGAGGGACCAGTGGCATCACCATTCATGAAATTCCTCTCCAGTTTCTAAGCACCCAAAGTTCACAACTCATTCATTCTGTGTCCCCCTGAGGACAAGATAATCTAGCTAGCACCAATCAGCCCTCCATTCCCAACACAGTCCTCTGGTCAACCCAGGAAAGCCTGAGAGACAGATGAGGACAGCAGAAGCCACAGCCCCACTGCTGCTCACTCCTCACCCTGCAGACACAGAGGCTGCATCTGGACCTTCAGAAATGTTGACAGCCCTGGCTTTTGGAAAGACTAAGGGGTGTGGCTGGAGACAGAACTCCATCCTCTTTTCCAGAAAGCTGGTCACCTCCACTGCTGTCTGTGCAGCGGGAGGCACAAGAGACTCTACATTCCAAATAGGCCCTGCAATCCCCAGCCACTGAACGCTTTTCTCACCTGAACCTTCTGAGGTACATTCTGTCTTCCTTTTCTTGCAGGAGCAGACACAAACAATAATCATAATCACAGCAACAACAGCAGCAGCCACACCCAGGAAGGCAACCCATTGGTTCGGAAGCAGCAGTGCAGTCCCTGAAAGCAGGATTGTTACACTCTGGGTACTGAGCCTCAAACCTTCTCTCCTCTTACCACCCTGGTCACTGACTCACCTGGTTGGGAACCACTTCTGGGATTCCCAGGCTTACCACAGGACACAAAGCCAGTGCTGTTGTTCCCACTGTGTCCCACATGGCAGCTGAACCCCTGCTCCAGTCCTTGGGGAATCCTGGTAGACACCCAGGTCTGGTAGGTCCCATTCTCATAGGAAAAGATACCACCAGCCTGCTGGGCATCCTGGCACAGGGGTTCCCCATCCTGAAGCCAGGTCACAGAGATATTCTCGGGATAGAAGCCAAAAGCCCAACATGTCACATTGATGGTGTCCTCCAGGGCCTCAGCACAGGTCACATTCACTGCTGGGGACACTGGAGGGAAATAAAGGCAAAAATAGTCAGGCATGTGACCAAGCCTCACTCCCCTTCTCCACTCTTCTGACTCTGGCCCAAGACCTCATTGAAGTGAGGTCCACAAGTCTGTTTTCAACCTGGAGCCCAAGTCCTCTGGCTGGCAGGAGGATGGTCACTGGGCTTGTGGCCTCACATTCTCACTTCAACGTGTTATGTTAAATAGGGGGTGTTATAGGAATTCTTGTTTGTGAGGTGATGAGGGGTATTTTGGGGGTCCTAGGGTTGTGGGGCCAGGTGGGAGCTCTCTATGATAGCAGGCAGGCAGGGAGGTGAGGGCTCACTAGTGTCTGGGCACATACACCCTCCTGTCTCTATCTAGCGGTGTGACAGGACAGGCAAATCACAACACGATAAACTCACACAAGGTTCTCTGGGCAGAGGCTCCAGAGGAGTAGGAGGAGTCCTTCCAGAAGACTAGATATCTCCTGAGTCTTCCACAAAGCTCTCCCTGAACTTGGGCCCAGTAATCCTTGCTTTGCATGCCATCTGCATCCCAGGAATTCTTGACTTCCATAGCCAAGTTCTGAGCTGAGGGTGGCTCCACCTTCCAGCTGAGTGTCTCTGGATGATAGGAGAGGAAGGGCTTCCCATCGTAGTAGAAATTCCAAAAGGCCCTGGTGCGGTTGTCCTTGTGAATCTTGCAGCCCCAAGTCTCCTGGAGGAAATGAGACCCTGCCCCCACCCACCAGTCACTTCTCCATTCCCTAGGCCCTCTGCCTCCCTGCCCACCAAGTGAAAAATACTAGCCCACAGGGGACTCCAACCTGGCTCTCCTCCAAGCAACAACAGCAGCAGCTGTTGGGAGGAGCTACACCAGGCCCCAAAGGCTGACATGAGGTCAGAAAGCAAGTCTGGGCTCTCTGATCTCCTTGATGTCCCAGGGACTGCAGGGCCACTAGTGATACCCTTTGTTTTACTTGTCCTTTGAGGTGAGCTTTGGTGTTTCTGGATGGGCAGGCTTTGAGGATTGGCACTCGGAGTAGGAACTCCACTCTTTCCTTGCCCTTTTGTACCCTCTTTTGTTTGTTTTCTGGGTGCCATGGTGGTGCTCTGGCTAGGGGCACTGGAGGTGTCATTTCCCAAACTTGCCCCACGGTGCTCTCTAGTTTTGGGGGTTTCTCTACTTTCTGACATTGATATTTGCTTGCGTGATGTCC